AGAATAAATAAAGGTTGAATGAATTAAGGATGCCATTGTCCCTTGATCTGAGCGTTGAAGATGGTGAATTAAAATGTTTTCTTGACTGACATGAATGACAGAATACAAGAAAATAAGAAAGTGATTATTCACCAGTTTCACCATATGTAACTATGTCATCCTGACCTGCTTGGTGACTCTGCTCAGCTCCACTGCTATGTCTCCTCCAGAGTTTCCTATCCCAATCACTACAACCTTTTTATCCCTCCACTCCTCAGGAGTCTTGTAGTCTCTGCTGTGGAAGTACTTTCCCGTGAAGGTGTCAATGCCTGGGAGAAACAAAGACAAAGACTTGTGACTACTGGACAAAGAGCCTTGTGATCTGTATCTGACACTGTTATAAAAATATAATTCAGGTCACATTTCACTGACATTATTCTCTCTGGGTGGAGCTGCTTTCTGTTGATATCATGTTACATGACCACACTGTACAGAGTTGCCGTTACAGGCTAGATCAAACTGTGTCAAAGGTTAACTTTGACATCATTTCCTCTTTGTGTTGCTAGAGCACAAGCAGCACTACTTGTGTTTGAGCAAACTGAAGGATATTTATAGGCTGTAAATAGTACCTGGGAAGTCATGCAGTGGCAGGTTGGGCTGGCAGTGATGTCCAATACAGATCATCACCGCATCTAAAATGTGTCTCTCCTTTTTGCCGTCCTTGTTCTCGTTTTCAACGTCCCACTGGCCTGAATGAGAAAAATCTGATCTCTGCTTCACCTGCAAGACTTTGGTCTGAACAGAGAGACACAAACAGTTAACAGTTTACTGATAACAGAAAAGCAAACCGACTCTGAGGTGAGCAGTAACCAGCAGTAACACCATTTTACATTTACAACTCAGCTGAGAATATTGCATCCTTTCAGGAAGTCAGTGAAGCATCCTTACATTGAAGCGTATGTGCTTGGTGAGCTGGAAGTGGTCAGCATACATCCGGAAGTAGTCCATGATGAGGGAGTTATGCATGTAGTTTGGGAAGTGACCAGGGATGGGAAAGTCACTGAAACACATCATCTCCTTGGAGGTGTTGATGATGACAGAGTGGTAAATGCTCGCTCTGTCTGGCTCTGGATTCTCCTGCAATATAACACAAGGCCGTGATCACCTGTTTAACATTGGGGTGGACCATTTTCAATCT